GTCCTAGAAGAATGTTGTGAGTTGTAAAAATTTTAAATTTTCATATTCAGAAAATATTCTGTTTAGTTAAAAATAGAATTATTTTGAAATCATTTGCCATCAATACTTTACAGATATTATTCCATTAGTTTCTTATATCTAGTGTTATTAGTGAAAACTTTAAATTTAATCAGATTTTCATCTCTTCTTAAGAAATCTATTTTTCTCTCTATAGAAACTTTTTCATATTTTTAATTTACCTTTAATATTCAGAAGTTTTACTACAATGTATAGGGTTGTGTTGTTGTTTTAATTTATCCCTCTCCCCTGTGCAGGCTCTCTACTCAGTGTTCTCCGGTCTTCGAGGACTCCTCCCCGTCCTCCTCAGCAGGAGTTCTTATTTTCTAGTGTAGCTGCGTAAGCGTGTGTGTATTTGCTGATCATATGTCTTCTCTTATTTCGAGGGATCTGGTGAGAGGAGAAGAGGGTGTGCCATCTGCCCAGTTTGCCTCTTGAATCTCAGTAGTTCTTTTTATAACTTTATCGAAAAAAATCATCTTCCTCTAGCCATGTCCTTGGGTCAGATCCTGAGTTGCTGCCACTAAAGTATTATGTCAGCTAGCCCAGCACTGCAACCTTTGTTCAGTGTATCTGCACATTAGTTACTGCAGTCATTCTGAAATCTTACTGTAAGTCATTGAAAGGAAACAATATTAGAACAACTTTTTGTAACTTTAAAAAAAAACTAACATGCAAAATGTAAGGAAGGAGCAAATCCCTTAGCTGATTGACTGCAAAAATTGTAAACATGGGTTCAGAGAGCAAGCCACCCCCGGAAAGGAATAACAAAGGCAGCAGGGGAAGCGGAGGGAAAGGGGACTGGGAGGGGGGCTGGGGGAAAATGTGCGGGTGGCAGGGCAAGCAGGCCCTGCTGGAGGGCCTCAGGGCTGGGCTGACCTGGGAGCTCTGGCCTTGCAGCCCTGTGCGGGGAGGGAGAAGGGGGGTCGGGCCTGTGGTGGGTCAGGGCTGGAGGGAAGTCGGGGTCCTGTTGTCCCTGGGCCGCCTGCAAACACTCACCAGCTGCCTGAGCTCACCCCATCCTGTAAACCATCTGCCTTCGTCTTTCTATTTCCCTCCAAGTTGGCCTACTTTTTCTAATCCAGAAATCTAAATAGATATGTACAGAAATAAATTTGCAGAGCTCCCTTAACTTTAACAAAATTAGAATCTAAATAATCTCATTGAAATGTTTAAGTAATTTTTATGAAATGGCCTCTCAGTACTCATGTTATCCTTCACGCCTATGCCTTTGTGGTTTTCAGTAATTTATAGAGTTCTGCTCTGCATTTAATATTTAATAAGCAACTTTGCAATTGAGTTAATGTTTCCCAAGGTAAAGATTTTATGGCACTCTAATCACAGCAAGTATTATTTTGATCAAGTGAATTCTTTTTTTAGCGCTCATTGTGTTCATCCCACATAAATATCATCTGTAAATCGCAGTTCACTTACTGTTTTTTTTCCCTTAAAGTTTTTTTTTATCAGAACTCTTAAGTAAGGTTTTAAAACATTAAATTTAGAATTTTAAACTTATCCATGAAGCTGAGAGATGCTGTTATCCCTTTCACCTCACTCAGCTTAAAATGAAAAAAAGTTTTCATTAACCCTTTATTTTCTTTTAGGACTTAAAAATAGAGAAAGCAAAAATGTCAAACTAACTTACACTTCTACTGAGCATGTAATTCTATTTAAACATATAAAAATATATTTAATCCCAATTCCATAAAGTTTGAAATACTTGAGAAGGTTTTTACCCTGAGAAAAACAAGTAAACAGAATAATGCACATTTTAAACTTTAAACATCTATTAGTAAGAGCTAATTTCCTGAAATGTTAACATATTTACAACATAAAACACCCGAATATTATAACCATTCCACATGCTGTAGCAGAAACTTAAAGCAGAAAACTTTTTTACCTGGAAATCTAAACTAAGGAGGCTTTGCTTGGTGTCATTTAAGTCTCCAGCTGAAAGTGAAACAAAACCAGAGCTTTCTGTCAAACAAAGAACAGAGGGGAGTGTTGAAAATGATCCCTGCCCCCGTGGTAAAATCTAATGCTTCCCTTGGGGATAAAGGCCTTACAGTTCTCACGCAGAAAACCAGCCAAGAGGGTAACCAGGAAAACAGTTGTCAGGGAAATATTTGTCCGACTCACAGGAGCAGTGGGAACATCTTGCAGGCTGAGAAGGTGGAGCTGGAGGGACAGAAGTGAAGCTTGGTTAAGAAATCTGGTTTTCATAGATATTAGCATGAAAACCCTTCCTCTGCCCATGCCTCTGTGACACCGCTGGGGTGCACCCCGCTCGAGTGGTCCATGTGGCCACGTTAGAGGAGCCGCACTCCTGGGTGCCCTGAGCTGGGTGGTGTTAGTGACCCTCCTCATCTCTCTGCCCATGGGAACTGCACACGCCATGTTGTGAGCAAGACTGAAAGCTGTTCCATGTGCATGTGATTGCAATGGTCACTTTCCACCTGGAAGCAGGGAGGAGGGCTGAGCAGCCCGGCCTCATCTCCGGCGAGCAGCAGGTCAGAGGGCCTTCGGGCATTCCTCTGTTCCTGTCTGAAGCTGCTTCTCTTTAAGCAGGGATGCTAATAACTACCTTCAACTTTCTGTGAAATAAATGAATAACACATGTAAGTGCCCGTCACGGGCTAGGGAATCTACTTTTTATTTCTTTATTTTAGTACTAGTGGCCCGGTGCATGAAATTTGTGCACATTAAAAGGGAATTAATTAGAGGAAATATTTTAATGTTGCTATGTGCTCTTCCTCTATAATAGAAGTGTCAGAGATGAAAGAAAATTAGTAACCTCCTGTCAGAGTCTGGGGTGCACCACAGGACCCAGAGTGAAGTCTCTGCCCACCCACATGCGCCTCAAAATCACGCAAGACCCAGACCCGGCCCGCCCCACCCCCATTGGGCGAGATCCAGACCCACCCGGTCCCACCCTTGTCAAGCCCTGCTGGGCAGGGGTCACAGCCTCAGGTCCCCAGCCCAGGCCAGGGCAGGGGGCGTGCCTTGAGGTCCCGCATCAAGCCCCACCAGGCAGGGGGTGCAGCCTCAGGTCCCTTGTCAAGCCCCGCTGGACGGGGGTGTATGGCCTGAAGTCCCCTGGCCCAGCACCAGGGTGGGGGGCACACCTTGAGGTCCCCCATCAATCCCCACTGGATGGGGGTGCGGCCTGAGGTCCCCCATCAAGCTCCTTAGGGTGTGTGTGGGGGGGGCACAGCCTCAGGTCCCTGCTGGTTGCACATTAAGGCTCATTACGGGAACTTGGCCTCTGCTGTGGGGGCATCTTGTGTTACAGAAACATCCCCCCCACGTCTCCTCCGTGGGCACCACCATCTTTGTGGTGAAGTGACTGTCATTTTGCATATTTCCTCTTTATTATATAGGTTTTTCCATCATTCTTGTTGAAAGTGTTATGTATGTTCCCTCTTTTCCCCATTGACTCCCTCCAGCCCACCCCCATCCCCCATGCCAGACCTCACCAGCCAATCAATGACTCTCATCATTGGTGTTTCTCTCTCTCTCTCCCTCTCCCTTCCTCTCTGAAATCAACAAAAAATAAAAAAGATCTGAGTTTGCTAGGGTTTGGAGAGAGAGAGGGATGAACAGGTGGGCACAGAGGACTTTTGGGGCAGTGAGAACATTCTGTGTGGTCTTCTAAAGATGAACACATCATACGTCATTATAAGTTGTCTGAACCCACGCAGTGTATGAGAACCGAGTGCTCCCAGTGTTCGGGGGGGGGGGGGGGGGGGTTGTGATGTGTCCGTGTAGTTCCTCAGTAGGAACGATGGTGCCATTGTAGTGGGGGATGTTGATAATGAAGGAGGTTAGAGGGGGCGGGACACAGGGGAAACCGCTGCACCTTCTTCTCAATGTTGCTGTGAATCTGAAGTTGCTCTTTGATAAGATAGCCTTTGGCAGGACCAGAGGCCAGCAGAATCCGGGTCCAGGATGGGACTGCGACTGAGGCCAGCAAGTATTGTGAGTGGCGACCAGTTTCCGGGGAGAAATCTACAGTAACATGGCGAGGACTTGGGCGCGGAGTCTCATTGTGTTGACCTAGTTCTTGGTGATGTCATGTTTCTAAATATACTCCGCTCTTGAGATCAGGGCAGTGCTTTTGTCAGAACAAGAAACTGTACTGAAGTCCTTTGTTGGGGGTAACTCCCAACAGTACAGGAAATGAATGCGGAGCATGTGGGTCTCACATGTGAAGGAAGAGAGTATCTTCGTGAGCCTGTCGGGGCCAGGTGGCCGCCTTATGTTGGCCAGTCTGGTCTGGGGTGGCCATCCATTTGGACTCATGACCTACCTGATTGACGACTGTATCCAGAGGGACGAGTGACTGTGGCCTGGGGGGACCCCGTGGAGCTAGCACCCTTAAAGCAGGAGCCTGGCCGTATGCATGGTAATCGGCTCCTCTTCACCTGCTAATACACTCACCTCTGTCAGCCCAGAGGACCTCCTGGGTCCTGTCTGGGTGTCCTCAGCCCCGGGCCCTGCACTCCCCCAGGTCCTGCACTTCC